CGACACGTGACAGGCTTCCGGATCAAAACAAAGGGGAGCGATCTGGCGAACAGAGGACGACCAAGACAGCGGAACACGCCGTGGCGCGATCCCGTGGTAACAAGGAGTAGATCGGTCGGACGGCGAGCAGCCCCTATGAACGCTCATCCGGCTGTGAACCAAGCCCAAAATCAGAATCCTGTGCCCAACCCGGCTTCGCCGCCTTGAGCACCCATGGCTCCACCAAATGTGTGTCTTTTTTATCCTGCACATTACTTAGTCGGAGCATGGTTGGCTACCTTACTTGCACATCAGTATGACAACAATAAAGCTCGGATTAACATCCCCGCCAGATTAGGAGGGGACGCGCATCATTGGTTTAGCACTTACGTTTGGGTAGACCTCCCAACTTTTGAACGGGATTTCCTGAACCGATTTGACTACATTCATCTGGAGCAAGCTTTGTTCATGATTAAAGATCGAGTAGAAAAGCCACTCCATTCCGTCACGGAATACCGAAACCGATTTTATAGGATGTTTGTCAAAACTGAGCGAGGGGAACAAGTCGGGAGGGATCTATTCATCAATGGGCTTCGGAGCAGGACCATGAGGGCGAAATTGCGAAAGCAGTTCTCCCCGATCAACCATACTCTGCAGCAGATTATGTCTGCGCCAGAAGAAATGGAGCGGAAATTCGCTGCTAGCTTCCTGGAAGGGGAAGATTATCCTAGAGAGGGAGACTCCTCGGAGCTAGCTAGAGCAAGGGTCGAGCTGGCCGCGCTTCAAAATAAATTCAAAAACATGGGTTTTGTCTCTGGTTCCATTACCTATTTGCAACATATCGTAACCAAGAAACCCGGGGCAGACGCAACCACGGGTTTGCCAATGCCAGCGATGGTCGCTGATGTACCTGTCGTACCCGTTCTTGCACCCCGACAAGCAGGGGCGGTGAGCCAAACGTGATGCTAGAACTGACCCGGTCTTTAATCAGCCTAATACAAGAAAGCAAGAAGGAACAACGGGAGTTTAACGCTCGGATGGAGTCCTTGCTGCGATCGATGCACCCCATTGTTGTTAGAGATGCCCCTATGGCACAAGGCGCTGCCCCCTCTCAACCAGTGGGAGGGATGGCAGCCAATCTGAGTGTCTACTACACATGTCATCAGTCGGGCCATATCGCCCGGGACTGCCCACATCGGCCTACGCAAGCTCGAGTCCGGGTTGCTCCGGATGGTTCCGATCATCCCTAACCCTGGATATCCTAAGGCGATATATTGATCGAGCAGGATAAGTTCCGCTGCTTCCTCGGTAGTGGCTATCGTGCTTCCCCCTCCTTCTATTTCTTCGAGCATCGTTCTTACCCTTCCTGGACCATTGGCTACTGGTGCAGCGGCCACAGACCAGTTGATGAGCGGAAGGAAGTGGTTGAATGGAGACCTTCCCCAAACGAAATGGAGTCAAGCGGACCTTCCTTCGTAATAGGCGAAATCGACGTTTTGAACATTGTTCGGGCCTTGGACCACCGGATTCCATTACCAATTGGCCATTTGTTGTCTATATCCGAACAGGCTAATGAACGCATGTTGCAGCATTGCAAGGCGAACAGAAAACGGTTCACTCTTAGCAAGTTGACAATAACGAAAGGGAAGACCCCAACTTCCGATGACAAGCTCGAAAAGCCCAGGACGTCAGACCCCGTACGGTTGGGACTAATTCAAAAAGACGATCATTTCTCATGCATTAAAGCCATTCCATGGAAATCCGTGGAATGTGATATCGAAGTATGGGGAGCCCCGCACAATGCTGTCATCGATTCAGGAGCAGTTGTTTTTGCCATATCACAAAGGGTTGTGGAAAAGGCAGGGCGACGGAAAGATTTGATCACGTTAACCGAGAAAGACCATCTCGTCTCGGTGGATGAAGAGAAGATAAAAGTAGTGGGAAGAATGGCGAATGTCGCTTTTTGATTGGGAAAGATTCATGTTTTAGGGGATGAGGTAGTATTGGATGTTAATACCAACGATGTACTTCTGGGATTACCGGCACTCGTCGCACTGCGGGCTAATCTGGACTTCGAACGACGATCGGTAATCCTGCGAAGTACAGGCGCGAAACCGTATGTTATTCCAATGCGCCTAACTCTACCGACCATGATGCCTCCTCCAACCCCCGGAGTCGCACTTCGAGTAATCACCTGGGGGCAACCAACTCGGAAACTCGAGTATGAGGATGAGGAACTTAGTTCCCCCAGCAATTCCGCCAACGAAAATGAAGCCGATCCCGATACAATCCGACAACTGATTCGCTATCCAATCCAACAGAAGACTTTTAAAACATTCGTCCTTACGAAAAGAAACTTGCAAAGGACCTGGGCTTTGATTTTTGGAGAACCCCTTGTACAAGTGTCCCGGATGATTGACTCTTTGGAACCCCCTCGAACCTTGTACGAAGCCACGACCCCGCTTCTCTCAAGATACCGAGAGAAGAAGGGGTTTTGCAACACCTCACGGCTGCCTCGTTCCTTACTGTCACCCGACAAGGAGGTGCGATTATTACGTTTAGGGGCCAAAAGCGAAACTCTGGAACCCCCTGAGCGCGACGACTCTACGCTTTACGAGCTTGGGGTCAAAATCGCCTAAAAGTCGGTTCCCTAGCAAGACATTAGCGACGGTGTGACCCCGGAAGAACACGTGGTTATCTGGGAAGAAGACGCTACCGTGTTCTCCTAGCGGTCGGATAACTCCTTCATTTCTGCTCCCCCTACTGAGAATGACCACAGAGTGAACACAAAACACGTGGTGGTTACCATTCACGGAAAACCGTACAAACTGCACGTGCCTCAGTATGTACCCAACGAAACCCATCGACTGATTGCGGATATCCTGACTGAATACCAAAAGGCGATTAGCATAACGGATACAGATATTGGATTATCTTTAGTCATTCAACACAAGATTCAAACCGAAACGCATCCCCCAATCCACTGTAAGCCATACCGATGTTCTCTCACAGAAAGAAAAACTGCGCTACAAAGGATCCGGGAGTTCGAGGTTAACGGATGGATCGAACCAGCAACCGGACCTTGGTCATTTCCTGTGATCTTAGTCCCAAAGAAGAGCGGGTCGATTCGTATTTGCATTGATTATCGAAAATTGAATGATATCACAATCAAGGATGTGTATCCCCTTTCCCGGATTGATGATTTATTGGATGTGATTGGGTGTGCGAATTATTTTAGTAAGTTTGATATTCGCCACGGATTTCATCCCATCTTGGTTAGGCAGGAGGATCGGCCGACGTCGGCCTTCGTATTATTCGAGGGCATATGGCAGTGGATTCGTTGTCCAATGGAAATCTGCAATGCACCAGCCACATTCCAAGGGGCGATGAACGTGACTCGACTGATGCAGGGTATGATTAATTCTGCGTTATCGTGTACATGGATGATATTCTGGTCTACTCGGATTCTTTTCACAGGCATGCGCAACATATTGAATGGACGCTGGGAGCGCTGTGCGACGCTGGGTTCAAAATTGCACTGGAAATAGCGAGTTCTTCCTCTCGAAAATCTCATCCTTGGGCTACGTAGTGACGCGAGGCGGACTGAGGCCAGATTCGAGAAAGGTCGCGGCGGTCCGAGAGGCTCCCACGTGTACGTCACTAACACAGGTTCGGGCCTTTTTGGGATTGGCGTCGTACTACCGCAGATTTGTCAAGGGTTTCGAGGCGATCGCGCGCCCTCTCACGAACCTTCTGCGTAAGGACCAGCCCCTACGGTGGGACACTGAGTGCGAGCGGGCCTTTGTCACTCTTAAGGAAACCCTGGTTACCGCGCCTATTTTGACACGCCCGGACCCGCAAAAGCAGTACATACTCGTTACGGATTGGCAGCCTGAAGCGATCTCCATGATTCTAGCCCAGAAGGGGAAAGACGGTCGTGAACACGTTATTGAGTACGCATCCACAACAGTACCAAAAACGATTCAGCCCCTCAGGGAGAGTGTTACGCAATGGTTTGGGGAATTCAGCATTTTCATCCGTATCTCTACAGGCAGAAGTTCCTCCTTGGCACGGATCATGAGCCGTTGCTGCCCCTCAAGAGGCTCACCAATTACACGGGCATGATTGGACGCTGGGTTGTGCGGCTGCAAGAGTACGACTCCGATATCGTCCACCGGAAGACGGAGAAGCACGGAAACGCTGACGGCTTGACACGTCTGCATCGACCCGACAAGGTGACAAAAGGGAAGGAGATTACCCCGTGGAAGGAACCAGAACCAACCAACGAGCGATCAAACGGACAGGTGGCCATCCTTTCTCAAGCTCCTAAGGGGTGAAGGACACGATGGCAATGGGAAGCGGAGGTAATCCCGAAGGTCCCCTTTCTCCTCTCTCGTCCTCCTCCTTCTCCTCCCTCCCTGACAAGTTTTGCTATTTCTGCGAGGCCATTTCGAGAGTCTATGCGGTCCCTATGCGACCAAGCGGGGAAGGATATGTCGAATGGGTAGACTGTCAGCGATGTGTTTCACGAGCCCATGGCTCTTGTATCCAGTATCGGAATGCGGACAAACCCTGGTTGTGTCCTCTGTGTCGCCCCGACAAAATCCCAACGGAGGCTCGATTTCTCGAAGCCACGTTGGAAGGACTAGAAAAGACCCGACGGTTTAGAAGGGCTGAGGTATGGACAGGTGTCATCTTGATAGCTACGGTGGTTGGAAACCCTCTCCGAGACTTCACCAAGGAGGACCGGAGACGGGCCAACGAGAGGGCTCGGGATTACCGATGGAATGAGGGACGGTCAGAAAAACGAAACACGGACGGAAGTGGGATTTGGATGTCTGTCCCGCATCCGTTCGTGAGGTACGACTGGGTTAAGTCAGCCCATGAGGAAACTGCGGCTCATTTCGTTGTCTGAATCACAGAGGCAGCGATTGATAAAAACGAATGGTATTGGTCCAACATTCGCGACGATGTCGAGTTCGGGGTCCGAAATTGTCAGGTCTACGTCGCTGACAAGGCGCCGATTCAGCCGCCTAGGTCGATAGTGCCTACCGTAGTTGAACGCCCATTCCATAGGGTTAGTATGGACACCACAGATATTGTCGTTCCCCCTGGACCTAATAGCTGCGAGTATTCAATTCTACTGGTTTTTCTAGAGCATTTCTCGAAATGGATCGAGGCCTATCCGTGTAAGACGCGACAGGCAGCCGAAATCGTGCGATACGTCAACCGCTTTCTCGGGATGCACCAGGACAGCGAGGAGATCCGGACGGACAACGGAGCAGAATTTAGAGGGGAGGTTTTTAGGAACCTAGTCCTGCATGGTGTCTCCATCCACAACACTGCTCCCCACATGTCGCAATCCAAAGGACTGGTGGAGAATGCCAATCGAGTGATTAAGACCGCCTTGCGACACAATATTGCGGCGAATGACACGAGGCCTTGGCCCGATATCATGGACCATATCCTCGCTATCCACCAGGGGACACCCCACGAGTCCACGGGTCTAAACCTCTTCCAACTACGGACTAATATCCTGCCCTGTGTAGCCCTACCGAGCCTAAATGATGAGACAGCCCTTCCGCAACGGAACACCAGGGCGACGGTTAAGGATAAGGCCCAACGCCACCTAGAGTTGATGGAAAAAGCCCTCCTCCGACTGGCCTGAAAAAGACAGCGTATGACGAAAATGGCCCACGGTAGACAGGTCCGGAGCTACGGGGCCCGAAATGGGAATGCTGGGCCTCGGCCCCAATATAAATTGGGGGACATCGTGCAGGTGAGGAAATGTGCTCGCCAAGGCAAGTTAGCGCCACGATTCTTCGGGCGATTTCGCGTGGTCAAGCTTGGTCTCAGTGGGGTGAACACGGTTATGGCGAAATTGGTTTACGCACCACACTTAGGATGTGGCGGCGCTTCGCGCCTTGTGGGTTCGAGTCCCGATAGCCGTACACTAGAAATGAAGAGCGATATGTATGGTTGAGGCCTTATTTTCACTTTTCCGACACTATATGTATCTTTATTTATATCTTTAGTTAGAATGGTTTCTTACAAACAGATCCAATGGGCGCTTTATTAATTATCTTTCTTATCCTTCCAAGTCTCCATATTAGATCTGTCAGCTATTTTGTCTTGAGAAATTTGCCAAATAAAAGCATAAAATATAGCTAATTCTATCACACCATAAATAGGTAAAACACAAAAAATGAAACCAAATGTCTGGAGGAGTTCGGCGTCGGGGAGTCGGTCGGCTCGTCCAATCGTTCAACACGTGTCCTACCTTCGCCCTCTCCCCTCTTCCCTTTCTCCGCCATCATCCGCATCATCCCTCGGCCCACGACGACTCTCTAGAATTCTCCTTTCTCTCTCAACCATCGTCTTCAACCCCGCCTCCATCGCCATGAGCTTTTCGACGGAGCAAGTGATCAGCGAGCGATTAATGGTGCCTGAGGGAGCCTTCGCGACGATCCGGCAAGTACGGCATCCTCGATTGAGTCCATATCTTCGCGGCCTTCTTCAGTATGGCGGCCATCCACGCGGCAACAGAGTTCCAGGTCGGCCAGTCCGTGGTGGCACGAGTGCTGGCCGAGGTGTCAGCCTTTTTGCGCTTGTCCCCACTCGGCAAGAGCCACATGTTGGTCATTGTCGTCTTCACCGGCAACACCACGACGCTGCATCCATCGCGACACACCGCCATCCTCCGACAGCTGCGAGACTGGGCAGCGTGCATCACGACTGAGTGGGTGCGACCATTGGCCCGACCGCGCGATCGTGTTGTAACAACGAACGACATCGATCTTCAGCTTCGTCCCTTTGCTCGGCCTAAATGAACCGCCATCGCCTCTGTACCTTCAGTCTCCCCTCTGACGTCCCCACGTTCTGGCAGTCCGCCGCGGAAGCGTACTCTCCTTCACGACCAATTCATTAGATATGCCGATTTCAGACGCGGTTCATGGACGCACTGGTGGTAAACCTACGTGGCGCTCAGTTTGTGCCTCCTCGGGGTCGCCTTCCATTGGGCGGAACCCGCGGACAGGGGGGTGGCGGACGAGATCCCGGATGACGAGGTAGAATTGCTGCTCATCCAAGGGTGGAGAACGGACACGGAGGGAGATTTTTTGGGGATCGTGTTTGGAGAAGTGCGCAACGGCCATCTGAGTTCCATTACGAACGAGCTGTTGGTGTTTCTAACCCAAGTACTCGACGACCTGCCGTTGGAGATCCTCTCGCACTGTGACGAGAGACCAGGGACAGCCACGCTCACTCATACCTTGGAGCGGCATCTTTTGTGGTCCACCTGTACGGAACTGGAGGGGGGAAGCTACTACGTGCCCTCGGCGGGTGCGTACCTACACGTCGACGTCACCGATCTTTCCACGCGGGACCCGCTTATCCGGCGCGTTCCCGTAGGAGAGACGAGTGAAGAAGAGGAGGAGGACGATGAAGAAGAAGCATCGGCAGAGGAAGAAGATCGGGAATCCGATCCCGATTACCAAGGATCGGAGAACGCCGAGTCGAAAGAGGCAAGTTCAGGGCGAGCAGAATCAGGGGAAGAAGATTAGAGCGGGGGAGTCGAGCGGTCTCAACGAGCTGAGCGGGAAGTAAGAGACGCGGTGGCACAGAGGAGACGGACGGCAGCAGAAGAAAAGCGGCCGATCGAAGAATCAGGAGGGCCACGACCGCAACTGCTGCACGACGATCCGACGCACAATCCAGAACCGCAACGGGAGGAAGACGAACGAGATGGAAGCGCCACCGCGGAGGGATCAAGAGGCCGGCGCCGCCGAAGAAGTCAATCGCCCTCCCAATCCTCCCTAGTTTGACCCGCAGCCCTTCGTTTACGTCGAGATGCGGGGGCTCGAGCTTCGTCCCCGGTCGTTATCCCGTCGTCCCCATGACTTCCTCACCATCCAGCAGCTCCTAGGCCGGCCCCCGTTCCCTGATACATGGCAGCCATTTCCCCTCTCCCTCTTCTATCACTGCTACGCCACCCGCCTTCTGGTCACCCTCTTCCCGCATGCTACTACTCGCTCACTCGTCACTTCCTTCCCCCTCCACGTCCTCCTCTTTAGCATGGATTGGCGGGAGTATAATGATATAGAGGTCTACTACATCGTCACGGGCACGATCCCCGCGTGCGTAGAGTATGACGACTTCTGTGCTGCCATCCGCCGCACCCTCTGCACCCTCTACCCTGACTACCTCGCCTCCCTCCCACTAGCGGTTAATGGAAGGCCAAAATTTCGGGGTTTTTCGCCGCGTCGCTACAAGCAATGTTGTCGAAACTTTTGCAAACAAACCATGCAGGGTTATAATACAAACAACAAAAAACCAAACAGGCAAAGAAAAAACAAACTCAAGAGCACAATAAAACCCTATTCGGAGTAGCTTTCAGAGTTCGCCAAATCGTTCATCGGGTCCGATGTTTTTGCTAAGTTTTTCGTTACTAGTCCAAATGAGGCGAAATTGAATACAGATATACCCTAAAGCACATACATATCAGGCAAAAGGAAAAACCAAGAAAAAAGTAAAAATTCAAGAAATACGACAGTTTCGGTGAAAAATTCGCCATAATTCGCCAAAATTTTGGTCTTCCATTAACCGCTTCTCCTCCCTCCCCCATCAACGCCGGCACCCTCGCTTTCCTCGCATTCATCGCTCCATTCATTACGTCCCACTCCCCTCTAGCGACGAGGAAATTTACCTCTTCATGCCTCCTCTCCCCCAAGTCTATCCACCACCTCCCCGACCCGTAATTAGATTGCCTTTCCACCACATCATTCTGGATTGAGCCCATGTATGCCACGTCGGATGACTTCCACACTCAGATCCTACGGTAAGTGGCACGTGCGAGCTCCACGTCGATCGTCAGGTTAATGGATCGACGCATGAAGTGTGCGAGCAAGCAGGAGCTTGCTCAAGATTGGAACCCCCTGTGCGTCACATATGTGACGAACCATTTTCTCTAATTGCGCGACTTTCTGCGCGAAGCTGCCTGGGGAAATGAGACGGGTCGGATGGGTGAGTTGCGGGAAGGGTTGGGCGGGAAAATTGCATGGATGCCCTCGTTTCTTTTCGTTTTTTGTTGGGAGTTGTCGAATCCGTGTCGTGAAAATCTTGTGCCAACGGTTGGGTAACCGCGCCTTGGCGAGCGCGAGAAATAACTGTACCATAGCTTCTCTATTATTCTGCTGTGAGCACTGGGAATTTTGGCGCGATCATTGCACGAGAATATCGTTTTTGAAATTTCAACTGATGTCAAGCCCCCGCGGGCTCGCGAAATTGTTTTTCTCTTCTACTTTTTCGAAATTTCCTTTTGCAATTAGGACTTAGGCTAGGAATTTAGGTACTCTGAATTTTGTTGCGCCGCTCTTGCGCGCATCTTGCTGCGCTGGGAACTGGGCTCTAACTGGATCGCGCCCTTAATCTCGTGTAGCTGTCGTTTTTGGCGGGCGTGATTGTAACTTTATCTTTCTTCTTTCTTGGTTTCCTCGTGTTGGCCCGCCTTCTCCGTCTTTCTCGCCTTACATACTCTGTTCTAATTGGCCGGAGCGCCTGCATGACCGGATCAATGCGTGGAGTGTGGCTACGACCCCCACGCCGCGGCTTGGCCATGCAAATGTAGGCACTTCCTCTCTTCTCCTCTTGTCCACCTGGGCTTAATCCCGTACCTTTCGCGATTAGTCGGCTCTCTAAGAATTTCGAGGTTAGCGCGATCAACGAGCAAGTTTGGAAGGTGAGTGAGTGTGAGAGTTGGGCGATCCGACGAGCTGGTGCTGAGTATGCGGGGTTGACGTGCGGGCTGCGACGGACTGTGGCGCACGGGCGAGCCTGGCTTGCATATTTGGACTAAGCGGGGTGACGACTCTGTGTGGATGCGAGGCGACGGACTGCCTGCATCGGGGTTAGAGAGAGAGAGAGAGGGAGAGAGCAGTTTTGGGTGTGGGATGAGGTTTTTTCCTTTGTTCCTTTCTTTCCTTTGTTCATCTGTATAATTTTGGATCCGGATATGGTTGATTTTATCGCGGCCCTTTTTGGACTTCTCTTGTAAATCACCTCGGATTTTCCTTGCCGTTTTCACTTCGTATGTATACATGGAATGAGTGTGAATTCCCCTTCTTTTTTAGCGACCTTTCGGATTTCCAATCTTGTTTTCAGATGCTTGTTTCGTCTCTGTCTATGCGTGAATTGTATGCTCAGATCTGATTTAAAACGCTCGTTATGGATGGTTGGGTTTAGTCATTAACTTTCGATCACCAAGAGTGTTGCGAGAAGTTGATTGTCTTGTCCTCTCCTTTCTCCTTTTCGTCACATGTATGGCATGTAATGATCGGATCTCACCCGACGTAGCATGGATAGGATATTTGCATGTATGCTGAACGCGATCGGCACACCGAACCAACCCATTGTTTCTCACGTGCGAGCTCGCGTACGATCACGATCTCGAGGAAGCCGAGTTGCCACGTACACGCTCGTCTGCGTGAGTCAGCCTTGGACCGCGTATAAGGATGCAAGGGACCGAGCTTGCTAGACACGTATGGCTGCGGAATTTCCCTCTTGGATGTCCGATCGTGAGAGCCTGAGGGAACCGGAATATCGTGAATACTGGGAAAGTGAACAACTCAGACGGCGGGGGAACTTAAGAAATCCGGAATTCCCCTGTCTGACAGAGAACGATCGATTGCGCGCAAGGGACTTTCACTGTGCCATAACTAGCGATCCTAGGGGCCCCGACTATCCGGATACTTACAACACGCAATATTTCATATCCTCCGGCTTCGTCTTTATTACTACCAGTTTCCCTCCCTTTCACCTCCTCCTTCCCTATCACCAACTCACAGTGGTGCCGTGGAATTCCATAGCCCACTATGGGCCCCGCATACCGTGTGAAAAGTGTCGGCGGCACCAGGCATACCGAGCCTCGGAAATCGCTCGGCAAGCCCGAACCGAAGCCGACCGGCGCCGACAACTGGTCGAACCGCGGGACCAACCGCAAAGGCGAAACGAGAGGAGATGGTGATTCCCCTTTTCAGGCTTGAAAATTGAGTTCGAGGCTTGAAACGAGGCCAGGCGCATTTTGGCGCCAAACCAACAGGTACCGGCGTCGTTTCGCTCCTGCAAGACCCAAGACAGCACCTTGGGCCAGGTGCACCGGTAGAAGGCCGTTTTTAGGCCAGGCGCATTTCTGCGCCATGATGCAGCAGCAGCAAGGTCAGAATGTCCTGTAGGGACCCAGACCACCTGGGCCGTTTTAGGCCACACAGCACCAGGCGGGCCCAGCCGCCCAGTGCTACAAATAGCTGGGCAGCGGCTGGGCCAGGGACAGTTCGGGTCGCTCACTCCTGAGCGACATGCTGCTGGTTGATGGCTGCGCTATGCTGCGCTGAGTAGCGAAATAGGGAGTAGAGGTTAGAAGAGATAGGGAGTGGCGGAGGCCATACCTGCAGTCGGCGAGCTTACCTGGCGCCATAGATGGGCTCCAAGCGGTACCTGCACACGGCGACAGACACAGTCAGTACGGTGGCAGCGACCTGCAGGTGAGATAGCGAGGAGGACTTCTTCTCTCCCTCCTCCATCT